TATTAATTTATCAACAGATTAAAAATATTTTTATAATTATCTGTCAATGTAAATTGCAAAGCTCCTTTGGAAATCCTTTTGTTGATTTGGCCACTTAAATACATTACAGTGAGAAAGATGAGGGTTGCCTAATGTCAGTAAGATAAGCTTCCTGCCTTGAAACTGTTTAGATTTGATTGCATTGCATTATAGAATGCATCATTACTAGTTTAACCTCTCAAAGGTTTTCAGCTGCTGTTTTATTTAGCTATACCGAATACACTGCCTACAGCAACTCTGGGCAATGATTCCCCCAGTGGCATGCATGAGCTGCCCTGTTCTACTGCAAAAATACATTATGGCTGAATTTGCCCTGAGAGTTTGGAAAGATCTAAGGTCTTTGGAGACTAAAAATGTGTTTTTTCTTTGTTTTAGCTGGCAGTATGAGCCTCTGGCATTTTAAAGTGCAAGTCATTAGCATCCACAAGGGTGATGTTAATATGTCTGTGTTTCAATCTCAGGACATTTTCCAGTTGTTTCTGCCACAACAATCTCTGCCATCTCAGTGCTTTTTAAGCCCCATGTGAATTAAAGGAAGCTTTGCAATGCCAGCAGGAATCACTGTAGACTTCAGCTGAAACCAGTTGCTACCTGACTTACTCTTTGCAGTAGATGCCACTGAGATTGAAAGTCACTGTCATCCAGCGCTACTGGGGGGGAAAAAGAGAGACATAATGCTTAATAACATTAAAGTAGACTAAAAGTAAAGCTGAGAGATTTTGGAAAAATTCACCTAGTTTGCAATGGCAATTTTTTTTTTATTTTAACTTTTCCTGAGCTTAGGTTGATTTTTTTGTGAACCCTCCATACAATTAATAGTGCAAAGAAAAATACAACAGCAGAACAGCCAGAAAGAAAAGAAAAACAAATAGTGGATCAATTGGATGTAGTCCGGAGAGCAGCCTGAGGGACCAGATGACAGTCATAATTGAGGCAAGGGATGGAATCTGTGAAGGAAAGGGAATGTCATGTGGGAAATGCAATGAGGCAAGAAAGGAGGATCAAGGGTCTTTCACCCATCCTGTAACAGCTGAGTATAGATGACAAGCATGTTTGGTCAATTGCTGCTTGCTTTAACCAGCAGGGACATAAATATTCCCCCTTCCCTTTTAGAATACTTTACTGTATTCCCTTCAGTTCCCAGCTCAGACATAATCTTCTTTGCCATGACCAAGAGAAATGTAACCTAAACAGCATGGGGGAGGGAAAGAGAGAGGAGGTGTGAATATTAACACAGACAAAACCAAAACCACAAACATTTTGGCTATTATTGCCATTTTCTGGCCTTTTATTTAGGCCTCAAGAACACTAAGGCTCTTAAGCACTGGTATGGTGCCAAGTTAATTATTCAAAAATGAGGGCCTGCAGTTGGACCGTATAAGGTTTCATCAGCCTTTATTGCCCAACCATGCCACACAAAAATGAGGACTATAGAAGAGATTTATTGGAGAGCAAAACAACAAACGAAAACTAGATTTCTTTAATTGGTTTGCAGCACCTCTCTCGTTAAAGGAGTCCCCTTCTCAAACGTGTCATAAGTAACACAGCTGGTATTTAATGTACTCTGCAGATGGGTCTTCATTGACACAAAAACAAGTGTGAATTTTGGAACAGGTGTTTGATTTTGGACTTGCTTGCTAGCCAGATTTTAGTGGATGAGTGAGAGCTGGGATGTCAGAGAACTGGAAGTGATCAGTTATAGCAAAGAGAGTACTAAAGAATCTTTCTCAACTCAGCTAGTGAAGTCCTTGAGCTAGTTTTCCCTTCCCACCCTCTCTGTCTTTTCTGTTTAGAATGTAAGCTCTTTGGGGAAAGGACTGATCTCACTACATGTTTGTACAGTGTGTTTTGGCCTCTGGGTGCCACTGTAATATAAATAATGGTACAGTACTCTCGTTTTTCTTCTGATTTTCTATTGGCTTCCGTACTAATTCCTGAAATGGAGGACCCTGGAGAGGACATATCTGCAGTATCAATCAGAAAGAATTCCATCTATCACACATTAATTTTTTGGTACTTTTGCTGCCAGCTCATTTAAGTGGCCTCTCAATAGAGGGGAGAGAAAAGGACACACTCCCGCATACCCGTTGGTAATGGGCATAGTATAAAAACATGAACAGAACAGCTGTTATTGAATTAAATTATCACCTTTGCCATCCTATTCATCAGTAGATGTTGATTTCCTAAGCAGTTCCAGTAGCAAATAAAACCTCTCTCTGGGTATATCTGTACTACAGCGGCTCCAGACGCACAACTACAGTGCTGCAGCTGCGCCGTTGTAGCTCTGTAGTGTAGTATCTTCCTACATTGACTGAAGGGTTTTTTCTGTTGATGTAGTTAATCTCCATCTCTCCGAGAGATGGTAGTTATCTTGATGGAAGAATTCTTACATTGACAGTTTTTCACAACCCTGAGTAATGTAGCTAGGTTGATCTAATTTTTAGACAATGAGAGCTGTGGGTGCGGTGCCTGCGGGCGGACATGTCACTGCTTGGGGGGAGCTGCTCGAGGTAAGCGGCAGCTGGATTCAGCACCCCGCACCCCAACGCCCTGTCCCGAGTCTCTCCCTCCCAGAGCCCGTGCCCTGCAGCCCCTCCCATGCCCCAACCCCCAGCCCTGAGTCCCCTCCCACATCCACACTCCCTCCCTCTTAGTTAACTGGAATTTTTTACTTACCAGCACCCCCCATTTCCCCAACATGCCGGATAACAAAGCTTTTACTGTAACAGTATTTGAATGAAATGGATAGATTCAAACAGCATAGGCATCTTCTTTGTATACCACAGTTTATATGTCCAAGAAATGCTCTGTGTCTGCATTTATATAATTATACACCTTACAGTTTAACAGGATACATGTATTTGTGATTTAATATAAAAATAATCTGGCAATATTATATTCTTTACCCAACCAGCACAGAGTTCAGAACATTCTATAGTAATTTCCATCCTATGGTGCTCACTTACAAGTGATAGTTAAGAAATAAGTAAAATGAAGTTTATTAATATGTATTTATATCTTATATATTTATATCTAAATTAAAAATACATATATAGATGAAAGTAAGACATTCATAAGTTTATAGACTCAGTGTTTGAAGCGTCACAACTCCAAATTATGGCCCAGAGTAGTACTTTTTTTGTGTGTGTGGATAATTAATTTGTACATATTGTGACAAAGTTCCTCCTCTATCTTGGTGGGTCCTGCGCTTATTGGCGGATTTTCTTGCCTCAGAGATTCACCATGTGAGTTGGGGAACAGCCCAGAGACCTTCCCCTCTGGAAGAACCCACAGTCCAGGTCAATTGGGAGGTTTGGGGGGAACCCGGGCCCGCCCTCTACTCCGGGTTCCAGCCCAGGGCCCTGTGGACTGCAGCTGTCTATAGTGCCTCCTGTAACAGCTGCATGACAGCTACAACTCCCTGGGCTACTTCCCCATGGCCTTCTCCAAACACCTTCCTTATTATCACCACAGGACCTTCCTCCTGGTGTCTGATAACGCTTGTGCTCCTCAGTCCTCCAGCAGCACACCCTCTCCCTCTTAGCTCCTTGCGCCTCTTGCTCCCAGTTCCTCACACTCGCACCACAAACTGAAGTGAGCTCCTTTTAAAACCCAGGTGCCCTGATTAGCCTGCCTTATGGTTCTAGCAGGTTCCTGATTACTCTAGTGCAGCCCCTGCTCTGGTCACTCAGGGAACAGAAAACTACTCATCCAATGACCAGTATATTTGCTCTCTACCAGACTCCTGTACCCCACTGGTCTGGGTCTGTCACAATATACATATAAAACAATACTATACATATGAAATGATGAGGTCTAAATTAGCTGTTATCACTCAAGAAAGAGATCTTGGCATCATTATGAATAGTTCTCTGAAAACATTCACTCAATGTGTCGCGGCAGTCAAAAATGTTAACAAAATGTTGGGGGAATCATTAGGAAAAGGATAGATAATAAGACAGAAAATACCATATTGACTCTATGTAAATCCATGGTACGCCTACATCTTGAATACTGCATGCAGATGTGGTCACCCCATCTCAAAAAAGATATATTGGAATTGGAAAAGATACAGAAATGATTAGGGGTATGGAACAGTTTCCATATGAGGAGAAATTAATAAGACTGGGACTGTTCAGCTTTGGAAAGATACGATTGGGGGGGATATGATAGAGGTCTATACAATCATGACTGGTGTGGAGAAAGTAAATAAGGAAGTGTTATTTACTCCTTCCTACAACACAAGAACTAGGAGCCACCAAGATAAATTCATGAAGGATAGGTCCATCAATGGCTACTAGCCAGGATGGGCAGGGATGGTGTCCCTAGTCTCTGTTTGTTAGAAGCTGGGAAGCTGGGTGACAGGGGATGGATCACTTGATGGTTACTTGTTCTGTTTATTCCTTCTGAAGCACCTGGCACTGACAACTGTCAAAAGACAGGATACTAGGCTAGATGGACCATTAGTCTGACCTAATATGGCCGTTCTTATGTTCTTATGTACATATAACAATAAACTAAACACATGCAGCCAGACAGCTTTTATATTATTCTTTATTATTTGTATTATAGTAGCACCTAGAGGCCCAATCTAGATCAGGGTTTATGCAAATTCATGAACACGTTATTCACATTAATTCATGCTCACTAAATTGGTCGGCATTGTTCATACACTGGCCTACAAGTAACTGAAGACTTGGGTGTAAATTTCAACTTTTGATTGCCTTGCCTCCCTTCTGGACAGATGAGTGAGCAAAAGTTATAGATCTAGAAAATGGATACTTGTGTGGGAAGTAGAGATGAATACCACCAGATCAACAGTATAGGCTTTCTGCTCATCCTGTTAAACATTTACCATGCTATTCAGAGTGGTATATACATGGGCTCTGTGGTCTTTAGTCCACTGTTGTTTTTTTAAATGAGGTTACTTTGGGACTTAGTCCATTTCCCTGTTGTCATTTCAGCGCCGCTGCTGCTTACTGGCCTTACAAAAGATTGAATTTCCAGTTGTGCAATTTCCAAGGTTTGTTTTCTTTCCCCCCCCCCCATGTTCATTTGCAAGCCTAATAGCTATGCTCAGACCCCCACAGGACAGCGAACCTGGGGGGCAAATTGCAAGTAAGCTTGTGAACTTTCTATGAGTTGCTTCTTTGCCAAAGGGGGGAACAAATCAGTGCAGCTGCAGGAAAAATGTCTCCTCTTTATACTTACAAATCACGTGTCAACAATTAATGTGATGAGTGCTTTTTCAGTAGTATACTGTGTTTAATTCATTTATTTTATTCAAGCAAAATGTATCATTTAGAAGTTCTACAGAATATTAAGAAATCTGATGAAGACAAGACTTTGACTTAAATGTTTATTTTTATATCAATCGTTAGGTACAGAAACTTTTATAATTTTTTTAACTGTTTTTAAGGTCTGAATTTTCAAAAAATGACTTCAGAGTTTTGCATCAAAATATGTATCTGCTTGTGCAGTCAGCTGCATATGAAACTATGGAGCTGCATTTGCAAATCTGGTAAGTGCATATATGATCTATGTTTCTCAAAGTTGGCCCTTAGAGTAAGTTTCTCTGCCAATGTACCTCAACCTTGCTCTGGAGACACCATTTCTAAGGGGAAAGAGTTACTTCAGCCTCTCTGCCAGTTTGTGGCTTTTCTCAGTTTGCCAAGGTAGGCACCAAATTGAGAGAAGAAGAAGCATGTGGAGAGGAGACAGGCTTCTTTTTTATGGCATAGATACATGCCCAATAGGAAATGTACTGGGGCTACTAAATATTTTGGTTACGCCTAGAGAAAAGCCTGGCCTGGAACACTGGATCCAAAACCACCAGCTCTGAACCATGGGGAAGCTCTAGGTCTGGATCCTGACCTGGTCTGGATGTGAACTTTTCAGTTTGGCTATACTGTTGCTCTACAGGGAGCCTGAACTGGAACTCCCCAAAATTTTAAATGTGAATTCAAGACCAGATTGCAACACTATGACTTAGACCCATTTCTAGTCCATATTAAACCTGGACCAGATGTTAAGCAGTAATCCAGAGGTGATAGGTAATGGGTAACAGACCCTGAGTTATCCAATCCTCTTGTCAATAATGAATAGTATTGTAGGTCATTTCAATAAATATCAGATCATTAAGATGATTAATCTTTGATTTTAAGTACACCTCTACCCCGATATAATGCTGTCCTCAGGAGCCAAAAAAATCTTACCGCGTTATAGGTGAAACCGCGTTATATCGAACTTGCTTTGATCCACTGGAGTGCGCAGCTCCCCCCCCCCCCGGAGCACTGCTTTACCACGTTATATCTGAATTCGTATTATATCGGGTCACATTATATCGGGGTAGAGGTGTATATTGTTTTTCTTTCTTTACTTCAAACAGCAATAGCTAGATGTGGCTTAGCTTTACTACATTATTATGCAGTAGAGCATTATTATTCATTTATATAGCACTAAGGAAGTTCATGGCATGGTATAATGGATAGAAACATACAATGTTCCTGCCCCAGAGGTCATAAAACCTGTTGGTATGAGTCAGTACAGTACAGAACACACACAAAAGTGGGGTCTACAGCTGGTATACTTTCTGGAACAGATGGCTCTTCATGAGACTTTTTGAAACAGAGTGAAGGCATTTGGTGAACATTAATGAAAAGGTTGACAGGTGTGCAGGGTAATGTGAAAGAAGGAATAGTCAGGAGTAGACAAAGGCCATGTCTACTCTACAAACTATTGCCAATGCAAGTTACATTGGCATAGTGGATGGAGGAAGCTGTAGACATGTTATATCTTGATGTTAATTAGGCTTTTGACACAGTCCCACATGACATTCTCATAAACAAAATAGGGAAATGTGGTCTAGATGAAATTACTATAATGTGGGTACACAACTGGTTGAAATACTGTACTCAAAGGGTAGTTATCAATGGTTAACTGTCAAACGGGGAAGACGTATCTAGTGAGGTCCCACGGGTCAGTCCTGAGACTGATTCTGTTCAATGTTTTCATTAATGACTTGGATAATGGAGTGGATATGATGCTTATTAAATGTGCAGATGACAGCAAACTGGGAGGCATTGCAAGCCCTTTGAGGCTGGGATTAGAATTCAAAATGACCTTGACAAATTGGAGAATTGGTCTGAAATCAATAAGATGAAATTAAAAAAGGCAAGTACAAAATATCTCACTTACAAAGGAAAAATCAAATGCACAAATACAAAATAAGGAATAACTAGCTAGGTGGTAGTACTACTGAAAAGGATGTTGGGGTTATAGTGGATCACAAATGGAGTATGAGTCAACAATGTGATGTGATTGCACCAAAGGCTAATATTATTCTGGGGTGTATTAATAGGAGTGTCATAAGACACGGAAGGTAATTGTCCCCTGAACTTGGCAGTGGTAAGGCCTCATCTGGAGTACTGTGTCCAATTCTGGGTGCCAGAGTTTAGGAAAAATGTGGACAAATTGGAGAGAGTCCAGCAGAGGCAACAAAAATGATGAAAGAGTTAGAAAACTGACCTATGAGGAAAGATTAAAAAAACTGGGCATGTTTAGTCTTGAGAGAAAAAAAACTGAGGGAGGACCTGATAAGTCTTCAAAAATGTTAAGGGCTATTATAAAGAGGTGGGCGATCCATTGTTCTCCATGTCCACTGAGCTAGAACCAGAGGTAATAAGTATGCAGCAAGGGAGCTTTAAGGTTATATATTAGGAAAAACTTTCTAACTATAAGGGTAGTTAAGCTCTTGAATAGGCTTCCAAGGGAGGTTGTAAAGAATCCCAATCAACAGGTTGCACAATCACCTGTCAGGGATGGTTTAGGTTTACTTGGTCCTGGCTCAGGATAGGGGCCTGGACTAAATGACTTCTCAAAGTCTCTTCCAACCCTACCTATCTATGATTCTGTAAACAGAATTCAACCCAGATATCAGAAATAAAAAGCCAGCAGATAATGTCTTGTGCTGTTTTTTTCTTTGCTGTAACTTGTGCATTTTTATAAAACCCTTTAAAAGCTTATACATATTTTACTGCCAAGAAGAGTAGACAACAACATGTGGTCCTGTGATAATGTAACAGATGCCAATGTGATGAAAGTATTCTGTGCAGGCACATCTTAGTAGAGGCCCACTGTAGTTGTAACTGTTGTTGTTTTGATTTAATTTCTTATTGTTTGTTTGCAAAAACTGAGTTTTGTGAGGGCATCATATTATTTAGCGGTTAATGGCCATAAGCAGTTTTCTTTGTGTTTTTTTAAAAAATCAGTATTCCTTTTTATATAAATGCAAGAGCAGTACATCAGACTTCCCAGATGAACAATTGTCTGAGGATAATAGCTACAGGAGACTCTTGCGCTTCTGATTTGCATTTCTATAGCCCTTTCCATTTGAGGCTCCAAATGCACTTTACAAACAATAATAAATTTAGCTTCACAATGTCTTGGTAATGTAGGCAAGTATTGTCCACATTTTATAAATGGGAAAACTGAAGCACAGAGATATTAAAGTCAAGTTTTCAAGAGGAATCACTGATTCTTATTTTTATTTTGGTATGCCTCAATTCTTCAGCGCCCAATTTGAGAATTCCCTAATACCACCCATAGTGTCATCAAATCAATAGCTGAAAGCAACATGAAAAAGTTATTACAGGGCTAGTGTAAATTCTGCAGCCTCCTCCTATGTTTGAGATGTAATAGAAACACTGTAGTTCAGTAGTCTAGGTGGACATTTAGGACATCTTCCAAAAATCTCATTTTAGGTTTCATAAAGTCTAAGGCCTGAAGGGATCATTATGATCATCTGATCTGATGTCCTGCATAACACAGGCCACAGAATTTCACACAGTGCATCCTGCTCATAACTTGTGGTTGAACTAAAGCATATATTTTAGAAAGTCATCCAATCTCAATTAAAAGGCTACAAGTTATGGTGAATTTAATCTGTTCAAATGGTTAATTACCCTCACTGTTAAAAATTTGCATCCACATGTAAAAAATTGCATCTTGTATGTATTATCTTAACTGGTCAGAGCACTGTTAAAAAAAACATATATTCTTACACTTACAACATAATGTTAGTGTGATAGATGAAAAGTGATTCAAATATTTTCTCCTTACCGTTGGTCTTCGGTTGTGTTAATTAGAGTGGACAGAAACAAAAGGTGAGGAAAAACAATTTGTGAGATATTAAAAGATCTTACAATCTGTCTGAACAATAAACAGTCCTCAGCAGAGAAAGGAATCTCATAGTATAATCCACCATAAACAATATCTCACAGATCTGAAAAGGTTAGGCCCTAAACCTGGCAGCTGATCTGTGTGGACAGATCCCTACATCCACGTGGAGCCCTATAGACTTCAGTGGATATCTACACATTCAGCAGGATCAGGGCCTTACTGGGTTACATTCATTGCTTAGGTTCTATGGGCTTCTATCCAGGTCTCCTGTGAAGGAAATTCCTCACAAAGCTACCTCAGCATAGCTACATCCCTCAGCTGTGAAAAATCTAAACCCCTGAGAGACATAGTTAAGCTGACCTAGCCCCTGGTGTACACAGCAACCTAACTACCGCCTTTCAGGGAGGTAGATTACCTTGAGCGAGGGAGAGATCCCCTCCCATCACTGTAGGGTCTACACTGAAGTGCTACATGGTGCAACGCAGCTGCAGTGCTGCAGCTGTGCTGCAGTAGCATTTTAAGTGTCGGCATAGCTAAGGCTGCGAGTCTGTCATGGAGGTCACAGAAGTCACAGCGTGATTTCTGCAGCGGCTGGTGAGTCTGGCCCGGGGCTGCCCAAGCAGCTCAGGCAGCCCCTAGGCCAGCTGCACCAGCCACTGCTGGGGCAGTCTCAGGCCACCCACTACCCCCCACTCCAGCAGTAGCGGGGGTCTCGGGCCACCACGCCCCCTGTTTCCCCACAGCAGCAGCAGGGGTCGCAGGCCATGACTGTTGCATGATGCCCCTCCCCCCCCAGCACCAGCGAGGGTCCCAGCCCATGCACCGCAGCACACCCCCCCAGAGCACCCGCAGCACTCCTCGGCTGCCCCCCCCCACCCAGAGCACCCAAGATTTAGTCAGGGGTATATAGTACAAGTCATGGACAGGTCACGGGCCATGAATTTTTGTTTACTGTCCGTGATGACTTTTACTAAAAATACCCGTGACTAAAATGTAGCCTTAGGCATAGCCTGAATCACAGTAGCATCAGGCATCTGTAATTCTGTGCTCAAGCAAAGCCAGAATGGCCAGTGTAGTGCATAGAATAGAATTTGAAGTAGCCAGGGTTCAAAGCAGCCCTTCCCTTGTGAAGGGTAGCATTGACACCATTAATAATATATACCTATCTCATAGAGCTGGAAGAGACCTTGAAAGGTCATAAAGTCCAGTTCCTTGCCTTCACTAGGCAGGACCAAGTACTGTCCCCTTGGCCCCCTCAAGGTTTGAACTCATGACCTTCGGTTTAGCAGGCCAATGCTCAAACCACTGAGCTATTCCTCCCATTGCTTACTATACTCTAGTGGTGTATTCCTGCTCTGGCACAGCTATACCTATGGGAATGGTATCCACAGGGGTGAATCTAGCCGTTGTATGTAAAGGTATTTAGCACTTATAGCTTTGGAGCTTTAAAATTCTACCTGAACTATATGGGATTTTCTACTCTGCAAGCATAATAGAGGGGTTTTTTTCATTCATCTTCACATTTAATATATTCTGCAATTGTCCCAAACAAATGATAAATTTGTCTTTTACAAAAGTGCCTTATTGTGCCTTGATTGCTTATTTTATGCTTTAATAATTCATATTTTTCATAATTTATAATGTCACTTATTTGAGCTAGACACAGTTTATTTCCAGTGGGACAAAGTAATCCATTTACAAAGAAATATTTACATGTAGACTTCCCAAATGAAACACTAACAATATCACTGTCCCACCGTGAACTTTCAAATGTCACTAAAAGACATTGGACGCTCAGATATAAGGTAATGGGATGATTTATATTCTGTCTTGCAGCACTCTGGTAATATAGTGCTTTATTTTTCACTAGCGCTGTAAATCTGAATGACCAACCTTAAATGCCATGTTTATCTTTAAATTTGAACATTAGCATTGAACTTCTCATGCATCAACACCGTGTTATGCATTACTCAAAGACAATGAATTAAAAAAAAATGAATAGGGGCCTGTTTACAATCAGGTCTGACTTATTTCCAAACTTTCCCTGCTTATCAGAATACATTTTACAGAGTATTGGTTTCTATAGTCTTAAAAATAAGGTCGATGTCCATTTAATCATTTACTCCACCAGCCTTTCAGGTATAGGAAAATTTATGGTCTTAAACATTGGGCCATTGCAGACTTTTGTTCTGGAGCTGTAGACTTCCCAGGCAGGTTCACACAATGCTGCAACCCCCAGGGCATGGGATCCCCACCCCATCTGAGATGTTGAAAGGCTGTAGTGATATTTCCTGCTCATGATCCAGAATCTCATTGTGTTGAATAAGGGCCAGAACTTAGGTGCCTGAGTCCCAATTTTAGGTGCCTCTGCAATCCACAAAACCCTCTCTTCATTGCAGCCTAATTCTGTAGGCCTCGAACACACTTGGTGCCTAAATTTTCACTGTAAAAGTTCTCTACGTTTTTGACTCTGGGCATGTGCTCTGTTGCCTAACTCTAGATGCCTGGGGCTTTACGTCTATCCCCCAGTGGGATCCTGAAACCAGGGGAAGGGCATTTCCACCACCTATCTTGCCTGCAGGGCCTGATCTGATAGGCTTGCTCAGAAGCCACCTAATTCCATGCACTAGCATGCCAGGGGTGGAGGTAGGAGCTTGAGCTCAGTAGTTAGTGTACTAACCCAGGATGTGAAAGACTGTGGTTTAATTCCTCCTTCTACCAGATGAGAAGGGATTGGAACGGAGATCTCCCACTTCTCAGGTGAGTGTCCTAACCACTGGACTAGACTCAGTCTCTGGCTGAATTAATATTTAATTAACATGGAATGGTTTCAACAAGAGAGAGAGAGAGAAATCCATAACAAAAGAGTCCACAGTCTAGTGACCCTTGCAGTAAGAGACCTGAATCAAATGGATTTGTAGATGTCCCCATATTTGCTTGAACTGTCCTTAAATAGAATATGGTCTTTTGATTACCTGCTGCTGCACTTCAGTGCTCCTACCCTTTCGCAAATACTTCACTAAGAGAACAAACTTTGAA